CTACAGCGCCCACTTTTGGCACACTTTTAAAGTATGACAAAACCCTCAACTTGTCATAGGTTTTATAAAATTTTAACAATAAATGCGATAGTTATAAACAAATGAAGAAATGGGCACTTTTCTTGTTTTTTTGCAATAACTTTTTTGTTTATTAACCGATTTTAATTTAACAAGTAGATAATTTTACTCCCTACAAGCTGTCTGAGAGTCACTTTTCGCTAAAATTGATGGTTTTCCCTGCAAAGTGAAAACACTTTTTTCCTGACTTATTTGTTTAAATAGAAAAGTTAGCTAATAAAAGTTTTTGACTCACGAGACGAGAGATGTCTTGTATTATATATTCCTTTAGAGAATTTTACAATAATTTCGCAGATAGGACTTTTTTCGAGTTTCTCTTTTATTTTCGCTAATTTTCCTGGTGTATTAATGCATTCCTGTAAAACATGCAAACAAATAGACTAAAAGCTAAACTGATTATTTACAAAAAAAGAAAAACTTACCAAAATTGATGTCACCCATCAGCCTGAGCCACGAAACGTTTGTGGGGTAATCCTTGAGGGCCTGGGTAACAATTTCAGACAATAATTCACAAACTGCGACAGCATTGTAAGAATTAGCGCTGCAAAAACACACGAATTTATTTTATGAACATATTTATTTGAAATAACGCGTACTTGCTAACGACCGCCGGCCACAGATTGGAGTAATCGACTTGGAGTTCTATGCTAGCTTCGTCCTTAAGTACGTTGAACAGTTTCGTCAGCAGGGATATCACCACTGCTAAACACCACGAGTCCTTCAGTTTATAAAATATGGACATCAGGTTACTTTTAAAGTTGGACATGTCGTGGTAACCCGAATTGTTACGTTTTGTCTGAGACGTAGCAAACACCGGCAGCACTAGAAGTGGATATTTATTGTTTATCTATATTTTGAATGTGGGTGCCATTAGCAGGTCACTCTCTGCCAATAGGCATTGAGTAACATGACAGTTACTTTGTAGGTTATATCTCACCAACATGTGAATGTTAAAAGAAAATAATTCCTCACCAGTATCCCACAAGTTTTTGGACAGTTTCTTATTTCCTTTCTGCTTAACTATGTCCTGGCATGCCAAAGCTATCGCAGATGTAATTTCGAAGGTGGTCCTCCTCTTTTCGTGATTTATCAGAAAGTCCCATCTTCCCAAATTTAGTAAGAAAACTGCACACTGTTCGACTATTTCCGTTCTCGGTAGAACAGTGTCGTTCGTCTGGAGGCACACTTCGCAGGCGTTTGCTAGAGCGTGTTTGTCTATACCTAAAATTATTTGCAAGGGAAACGGTCATTATAATGTAATATATAGACCGATCAAAATAACTCATTTAGAGGGGAAAAAAAAAGAAAATTGTTACCTGGACTTTCATAAGTGGAAATGGTAAAGGGGCTTATAATAAACGAAAAAAAAATAAATGCGTGAGCAGGGGCGGCGGAGGGTTGATTTGGGGGGTTGAAAAGTTATGAAAAATTGTATCATTGGGATTTCTGGCGAAATTTGACGTCAAACAAAAAGTATCTAATACAAAAGTTGTAGATCATGCAAAAATCTACAACTTTTGTAGAGGTCA